AGCACGCTTTCCAGCCGCCCAATGCATTTGGCGGGGACCCAACCATGACCATCTCCACGCATGCTGCGTTCCAGGCAGTGAACGACATGTTTGCAGGTGTGATGTGGTAGAGGGGTAGTCAATGGCATACTCATAATGGCACATGGAACAGCAATCGTGTTCTGAAAGAATCGACGCTGCTGGGCTCCCTCTTCTTTGCAAATAGAGTGCTCCATCCTCTCGTCACCCAACCCCTTCCTGAACACACGTCACAGGGCCAGTATCGTCGGCATGGTCCCTATCAGCACCTGCGGAAAGACAGGAGCACGGCGCAGCACGGCCCCAGATCGTGTCTGGGTCCCCTGACGAGGGCGGGTTGTGCATCCGAGAAGACACCCAGATTCTGCCACATACGCCTGCAGAGCATGGGTCATCACTGCTGGATATCCGGCAAGACACGGGGCTCCTCGACCCTGGAGACCAGCTCTCAGCGCATCCTGCTCAGGGAACAGACCTTGGCTTCAACATCTGCGAGGACACCTGCTTCCTGAACTATTCCAATGCATGATGTTGTGTGCCTGTGGCAAGTGCAATCTCAGCTGCAGGGGCACAATGTACAGGTATTTATCAGCCAGGCTCGACCCCGTAACCCAGAGGACTGTGAGTACTATTCTGTCAGACTGGGAGGACTCTGACTGCTCAAACCTTGCCGTACACCATCACTCTCGTTGCCCCACTGACAGCTCCATGTTTGACCTCCCGCCATCGTCGGACGCGCGCGGCAGCATGCTGTGCTCGTCACCAGCGATGGGTTGCCACGCTTACAGCAACCATACCAGTCTCAGAGAGGCACTGGTACAAATCAAATTAATTCGCTTGCAATAATAAAATCAATGCTGCGCTCGTATTGAAGACGTGCCGCTAATCGCGAGGGGACGCTTGGGGTGCTCGAGGGGAGGGTCTCGGACCCTTTGCAGCCTCATGTCCCGCGCTGCCCACCTGCTGAGGCGGGTTGCCTCTCAGATCGTACAGGTGTCGAATACCGTGGGAACTGTCGGCACCCTTATAGAGGTGAAGGCCGGCTGCGCCTGGGCTGCGCCATCCCTTGCCTCCCGCATCCAGCTAAGGGCCCGTGGATTTGCGGCCGCATCTGATGGAGGAAGCAGAGGAACAGGGACTGGATCCGTCCCTCCCACATCGTCGAGAAGCGTAGAGTCCGGGGATCAGGACGAGTGGGGCTCAGCCATCATAACAGGTATGGCTCGCCCAGTGGGGCTGAGGGGTAGGTTTACCCGGGGAGTGAAGCCTGAAGCTCGGCGTTCCTACAAATGCATGTGGCGACATAATGTTGCCAGGATGCTGGTGCGTGCTCAACCGCACAAGCCACCCCGCTCCAGGCTGGGATACGAACATCGACGGCTGCTGATTTTCACCACCCGCCTTCTCCGTTCCCTCTCGTTCAGGCGACTGGGACCGCGCATGGGAGATATTCGAGACCACATACCCGGTGGAGGGCGACGACATGCCTGGCGTGCTGGACATCATGGCCCTGGACTCGGAAGCCGAGGAGAAGGCAGCCCGGCGCCAGCGGGAGCTGGACCTCCAGGTGACTGCGAGGATCGAGTGCACCTGGGGGATCCACTTTGGGGGCTCAACCTGTAACAAGGATTGCATGGAGGATGCGGAACATGCCCAGACAGGATGGACTCCTCAGGAATGATGGCCTTCATCTTACTTCCCTGACCTTGGCTTGGTGGCTCTAATGCCCCTTCCCCCAAACCTCATGATCCCCCTGCAGGAGGAAGCTGCTGCCAGCCACGTGCGTGTTGTTGACCACCTCGGCCGATCGCAGGCCACCGGCAAGCGCAAGACCTCCATCGCGAGGGTCTGGATCTGGGAGGGCCAGGGTGCGCTGGGGAGCTGTGGCGGTCTGGGCACGCGGGATCCGCTTCTCAGAGAGATTGCGTGTCGTGGTGCTTGCCGGACACAGTTTGACCCTGTTCGGGCCTCCATTCCACTTCCTATCTGGCACTTGCTCCATGGGTCCCTTCAGTAGAGCTCAAAGCAGAGTGCATGGGATGTGTGAGCGTCGCATCAGGAAGCTATGCTGCATGGAGTCTAGGTTGCCCGCACCCTCCCCTTCCCCATGCACTGGAAGCTGATGTCGGCCGTTCTCCACACTTTCCTGTTGGCACTTCACCCCATGCCTCACCCCCCAGGGCACATGATGGTGAACAAGCAGCCCTACGACCAGTACTTCAAGACCTTGCCGCGGCGCAACGACGTCATCACACCCTTTGCGGTGACCAACACGCTGGGGTCCTTTGATGTCATGGTCAATGTCATTGGTGGAGGCACGACCGGGCAGTCCCAGGTGTGAGAGGCGGGGCCGGATCTGATGATGCCATTTGCACGTTTGGCATCGCGCCCTTGATAGTGCAGGGTAACCTACAGCACTGCTTGGTTGCTTGCATACCTCCTCCTCCGCAAACCATGCAGGCTGTGCGGCACGGCATTGCCAAGGCGCTGCAGTTTTTTGACCCCGCGCACCGTCCGGAGCTCAAGTCTGCAGGTCTCTTGACGCGCGACGCGCGTGTGGTGGAGAGGAAGAAGCCCGGAAGGTGGGCGGAGTCATCTGAGCTGATGGGTCAAGAGTGTGCGCTGCATGCCGTCTGACGAGGTGCTCTGCCTTCTCCCTGCGGGGATGCATGCAGCGTCATTATTTGTGTCAATCACACTGGACCGTAACTCATACATCCACAGGAAGAAGGCGCGAAAGGCATTCCAGTGGGTCAAGCGATAGGCCCCAGGAGAAGGGGTGCCTACGGATGTGCTTTGGACCCCTCCCCCCTCCCGCATGCGGACCGTGCTGTGAAGCAACCCATATCGACACGAATCGAAGTGAAACCGAGGGGCGATCGGTATTTTCAAGATGCCTGACAAGTGATCGGCTGCACTACTTTGTAGCTTGACCGCGACACGGACCGATATGTCGTCAGCTCTCGCCAGCCTGAGGACCGGGCTGCGTGTGCCTCGTGCAGGCGCCAGCAGCACGTGCAGCTCTCTCGAATGTCGCGACATCATGCGTGCTCCCCTCAATGTGCAGAGGTAGCTTCCAAATAGGTGTCGTCGTCATTGTTAGGGGCGGAGGGAGCATGCGTGCCAAAGTGCCAGATTCTTGGGGTTTCCTGGTAGCCCAAGTCCAATCCCGGCGTGTGGGAGCTGCCGCTCTGCAATTGATCAGCGGCCCAGTTCCATGGTCTTCACCCCTATTCTTCTCAGGATCTCCAGCGCCCCTACCAAGGCTCGGACCGTGTGCCGTACCTCGGCACCCGAGGCTCCTGTGCAGACCAATGGCGCTGCCGCAGATGGCAGTGGACAGCTGCCCATTGCATACTCTCCAGAATGGTTGGCTCTCAGGGAGCACACCAAGGAGGTGGACTCACTGTGAGTTGACTGTTTGCAGACACCCATGCTGCGGGTGGAATTGTTCATGCTGCAGGCGTGCCTCTGGCCTGGAGCACCTGGGTTTGATGATGATGATCGAGGCATATGGTGTACTTTGCGCTTACTCTCTTCCATGGGCAGCCTCCCTCCTCCCACTGACTTGGTATCACTCGCCCCACGCCCGTCCCAGGCACCTGCGGGACCTGCTCATGGATGAGGAGCGCGCCGAGCACTTCTCCCGCGAGCACAATGGCATCTACATGGACTTTAGTCGCCAGACGATGACCGAGACGACGCTGAGGGTGCGCATAGGGATTGTGGAGCGTGAGGGGGGCAGCGGGATCCAGGATCAGCCCCTAATTTTCAAGGAGCGGCAAGCCGTCCTGGCTCTGAGACACAGCAGGCTCACAGTCCCTCACTTCACCCCTCCCTCTTCCACCGCATAGCTGCTCCTGAACCTGGCGGAGCGGGCGGGCCTGAAGGGGAAGATTGCCGACATGTTTGCGGGCAAGCACATCAACCATACCGAGGACAGAGCCGTGCTGCACACCGCCCTCCGCGCCTCGCGCGATGAGGTGAGCGGGTGCTCAGGGAGGAGGATGGCCTGAGAGCGCCTGGGTGCACTGTTGGCAGGGTCGCGAGCGTTGGCTGTACTCGACTGCCAGAATGCTCCCCTCACCCGGTACTGCACACCGCCCTGCAGCAAGTGTTTACGGATGGCAAGGACGTCGTGCCAGACGTTCATGCTGTGTTGGACAGGATCAAGGACTTTTCAGGTGAGTCGCAGGGATCTGTTTTGGGGAGGAACTGGGAGGCCTGCGCAGGAGGGAGGGAGTCCTAGTCCGTGAAGAGTTGACCATGTGCATGTGATCGCATGCAGTCCGAGCCATCTCCCCCAAGTCTGCCCGGGGACATGTCAGCAGACCCCAGCAGGGTCCCCCTCAGCCTCCCGGCATCTCCACCCAGCCCCCTCCCCTTTCCCTACCCAAACCTGCAGAACGCGTGAGGAGTGGGGAGTGGCGGGGCGCCACCGGCAAGAAGCTGAAGGACGTGGTGGCCGTCGGCATCGGCGGCAGCTACCTGGGACCGGCCTTCGTCCACACCGCGCTCTCCTTCGACCACAAGAGCCAGGAGGAGGCTGAGGGCAGGTGCGCCAAGGGGGTCAGGCGTGGAGTGCAGGCTGGGTTCCGGGCCCCCCTCTTCCAGAGCCTCTGTGGCCTGTGACTGATCAGCGTGCCTCCCCTGCGCACCTGCCAGGAAGCTGCGCTTCCTGGCGAACGTGGATCCCGTGGACGTCGCCAAGGCACTGCACGGGCTGCGGGCCGAGACCACGCTGGTCATCGTGGTGTCCAAGACCTTCACCACCACGGAGACCATGCTCAACGCGCGCACCGTCAGGTGCGCGCGTTTGGAGGTTTGGTGCCGGGAGGGCTTGGGTGTGTGTGTTTGGGTGTTCTGCTCAGAAAAGGTACATTCCGAGCATCTTCGGCCCAGACAGAGCAGCACATCTCATCTATGCGGGCGGGCACCGGACCCCAAGCGAGCCCATCGTACCACCATGTGCACCCCGCAGGACATGGCTGAAGGCCGAACTTGGACCGGAGGCAGTGTCCAAACATATGGTCGCGGTCTCCACCAACCTCAAGCTGGTGAAGGAGTTTGGCATCGACACCGAGGTGCGATGGAAAAGGGGGGAATAGGTCGGGGATGGGGAGTGGTCTCGCCAATCAGCTCTGTGCCCTCGGTTGCATGGGCGGGAGGGCGCAGCAAGGGTGTCATTTGCCACCCTGGCGAGGCCTCACTGCCTTGGTTGAGACCTGCGCCGAGTCTGGCATTCACATCCATGCCATCCTCACCCGCACCTCCTCCACCTTCCTTCCCCTTGCCAGAACGCATTTGGGTTCTGGGACTGGGTGGGCGGCCGCTACTCGGTGACGTCTGCGGTGGGCGTCCTGCCCCTGGCACTGCAGTATGGATACGAGGTACGCGGGAGCAGGGAAGCGAGCAGAAGGCATGCAACAGAAACGAGTTTTGACCTGATTTATCGGAAGTGCTGGTGGGTATGAGCAGGATTGCCCGTTGCACATCGCAGCTGTGATGATCCACCATTCCCCTTGCCATGCTGCAGAAAGTGGAGGAGTTCCTGGCGGGGGCTCGGGATGTCGACCAGCACTTCAGGACGGCGCCCTTTGCATCCAACCTGCCGGTCCTCCTGGGCCTGCTCAGGTGGGTACAGCGGGGAGGAAGCTCTTCGCGAGGTGATCCTCGAAGACATGGGCTCTGTGCTACTCAAACCATTGTCTCCTGCCCATGTCCCAATCCTCCCCATTTCCCCTCCCCTTTCCCTCAGCATCTGGAACTCCACCTTCATGAAGAGGTCCTCCATCGCGATCCTGCCCTACTGCCAGGCCCTCGCCAAGTTCCCGGCCCACATTCAGCAGGTGCAGAAATTGGGAGGGTTTGCAGACGGATGGGGGAGTCATTGGTAAAGCGTGCACTCTGCCAATCGCGTGCTGGAAGCCGGCCACTGCGTCGCAGAGCCCGGGGCGCCACATATCGGATGCCCACCTGGCTTCCCTTGTGTACTGACACTCCCTGTAAGACTGCAAGGCATCTCCACCAATTATTGACCTACCCACTTACTGGTCCGCCCCCGCCCAGGTGTCCATGGAGTCCCTCGGCAAGCAGGTGTCTATGGAAGGGGACGCCCTGCCGTTCAAGGCGGGCGAGGTCATCTTTGGCGAGCCTGGCACTAACGGGCAGCATTCCTTTTACCAGCTCATCCACCAGGTGCAGGGGGGGTCTCGTGGTGGGAGGCTTGAGACATGTGTGTCCAACGCACTGCAGTAAGGCATGCCGGCCCTGCTCTTCTTCGGCCGCATAGTAGTAATCCTCAGTGGAGGGCAGTCTGGTGATTGCCTCACCCTCAGCACCATCGCGTCAACCCTCCACACACGCTCCGCAGGGCCGTGTCGTGCCCGCCGAGTTCATCGGCGTGGTGAAGAGCCAGCAGAGCGTGTATCTCAAGGGAGAGCTGGTGAGCAACCACGACGAGCTCATGTGCAACTTCTTCGCCCAAGCCGATGCGCTGGCCATGGGCAAGGAATCAGTGGCGCTGCGGGCCGAGGGCCTTCCCCAGTCCATCATCCCCCACAAAACGTTCAGCGGTGGGTGGTGGCATGCGCATGGGGGGGGGGAGAGTGGAGGGGAGGGGGGGGTGATTTTATTCATGGCGTGGAGGGAAAGGGCTGCAGAGCTTGTCGATGGGAGGTTGCTTGAGGGTGGGCGGCATGTGTGGAGGATCACATGCCTGAGAGATCCAGGCGTGGCGTGCTTGAGTGGCAAAGTCCCTGCAGCACTGATCACCGCCCTCAGCGCACCCTCTGCCTCGCCCATCCCTACATCAACGATCCCCGCTCAATCCACAGGGAACCGCCCCTCCACCTCCCTCCTGCTGCCCGACATGACACCCTTCACCGTGGGCCAGCTGCTGAGCCTCTACGAAAACCGGGTGGCTGTCCAGGGCTTCATCTGGGACATCAATGCCTTTGACCAGTGGGGCGTCGAGCTCGGCAAGGTGGGTCGTGGCGGATGGGCGACGTGGAGTGGCTTACAGAGGGGGATGGCTGGTTGGCTGGCAGGATCAGAAGAGGAGGCCCATGCACGGCAGGCGTAGGATCGAGGTCCCATGGAGGGTGTGAAAGCATCCCGCTGCCCATCGAGCCTGTGGCCTGGGAGGGGGCCGCCATGCAGGCGGGCTGTGCCTGCCACGTCATCGTGAAGCGTACCGGGGTTTGGACTGCACACAGAGCCCACAAAGAGGGTGTCAGAATCGCGCACTGTCCTTTTCCGACTGGGTTGACCTCTTGCAACAGTGCCGTGCTGATTGCAGCTCAAGGCTCCTGATACCTCTCCCTCACAACAAACACCAGGTCCTGGCCTCCAAGGTGAGGACGAAGATGCACGAGGCTCGCACCAAGCTGCGCAAGATCCTGAAGGAGGACGGCTTCAACCCCTCCTCACGCAAGATGATCAACAGGTGCATGGTTGACCACTGGGAAGGACCTAGTGCTCGTCCCTTCCAACAAGTATGCCTGGCACTCTCCTACCAAGCATGATACTCCTGCTGCCCATCCAATCCCTTGTAGGTATCTGGAGGGCAAGGCCCAGCTGCTGTACCCTGAGCCGAGGGATGTGTTCCCCTGCGAACTCATCCACAGCGAGGCGTGCGTGGCGCCCTGGGACAAGCATGAAAGTGAGGCTGAGGATTGATCTGGCGATGGGAGTTCGTGTATCGCCTTGTGGACTGGATGTCTGGCTCTCTGTCTCAACTTCCTGGCATGCACATGAAAGCACAGCGCCAATATTAAAAAGTTAAAAACAACCAGATCTAGTCATGACTATGCTCGCTTCTCAAGGGAAAGGACTGCATGCATGCTCAGGTGCCGGGCACACCGGGGGCTCCCGGACCGGGCTGTGAGCCAGGCGCCCCTGGAATCGGGTTGGGCACAGATGGCGGGCCGGGCTCGTGGCCCGGAAGGCTCCCGGGTTGTGGTTCATTGGGACCGGGTGCGGTGATGGGGGGAAGGCCAGGCTCATGGGCGGGGATGCTGCGCGGCTGAGGCTCGGGGGTTGGGGGTGGCGTCGTGATGGGTGGCTGCTCGCTCCTCACCCGGACCGCATGCAGACGGCGGGCAGATATCCTGCAGGGCATGGGTGAATGGGCTGAAAGATTTGTTCAGCATGACATGGTGTAAGTGGGCGCATGCTGCGGATCAGGGACTCCATCGTACCGTCGAGGGACTGCATGACGCACATGGCAACGATGCCGGGACGGTGGGAGAACGGTGGCCGTCAGGCCTGCATGAAATGCTTGGGACAACATGATGGCGTGTGGATCAGGAAATGCAATGAAACCTAGCAAAATTTTGCCTGCATGTTGAGATTCCAGCGAGGGATGCAGCAACCTTGAGAGGTAGCTACCCCGAAGTATCCCGGCAGGGCACGATTCACCAGATACGTTTGAATTCGCATAGCCGGTGCCGTCCGCTGGCTCAACACACTGAGGACCATGACTCCCGCCTATTGAGCACATTACATGCTACCGTCCAAATGATTTGCCTTTTCTTGCTTCTTGTAGACTCTGTGCCGGATACTTGGTCAATGAAATGAGGCCAGACGCAGACCAGACAGGGCTCGCGACTGGCATGCAGCATGCTGCAACATGATTCTTGTACTTCCATCTCTGAGAGTGGGCCGTGGCAAGCCCGTCGCTCAGGATGACTTGTGGCTGAAGAGGTCGGGCAGGGAGGAGATGGCGACGAATAGCTTCTTGAAGCTCTTCTCCAGCTTGCCTGGGGATATCGTGTACGCAGGGCGGTTCATGCGATTGCCTCAACATCAAAGGACACGTGCCGAGGATGTGCGGTGCACGCCCCTTCCACCAGGTGCCGAGCCCTTGCAGCACCTTATCTTGCGCACCCCTCCTGCCAGACTCACTTGGGCTGCTACGCATGTTCTCCCTCAGGGCGGCCGAGAACTCGTCCAGGCGCTCGCGATTCTCCTGCAGCCATTTGATGTACGCCAGCAGGTGCGGGTTGTCCTGCGGGCAGGAGGGCGCACGCTGGGCTTATGGGCGCAGGGCGTCGGCATGTGCTCTAGCACGGCATGGCAACGCTGTCCCCGCTCTCCCCGTACATCGCAGCGGCCTCACCCCCGGCAGCAGATCCCGCAGCTTGCTGATGAAGTGCTCCGTGTCCTCGTTGGCCGTCTTGAGGCCATCCCAGGCCGCGGAGGCATACAGGACGTACAGGGCGCCCTTCCAGATCTTGTCCTTGTGCTGCTTGCAGATGTCGTCGGTGCAGTCGCCTGTGAACAGCATCGGGTCCCAATGCAGAGGTGTGAGAGGTTTACTGCCATCGATACCAACATCTGCATCACCTCCATCATGCGCGCCCCACACATGACTTCCCTCCCTGCGCACCAAACACGTCCTGCAGGTAGTTGTTGTACTGCTTGGCCACCCGCTGAACGTCTGTGGGTGTGGGGACACCAAATACAGCGCCGGCGCCCGCCGAGGCCGTGGCGCCCGCCGAGGCCGTAGCGGCGACAGGACTCGAAGGGCCCGCCTTTGTAATGGGGCTCGCCGGACCCGCTGTGGCGGCGGCGTTGGCCGATGCTGTCGCAGCGTTGGTCACGACAGTCCAGCCCAGGTAGGAACTGCGCACAGTGCGAATGGAGTACGGAGAGGCAGTGAGGGCAGGAGCTGCGGCACACCCAGAAGTCTGGTCTCAGCTGCTGTCACGCAGGGTTTTCTGTGTACTATTTCGCAAACATCCAAGGGGCCTGACCTCTCGGTCCCGGGCGCACCTGGTGGCAGGGGACTTGACCACGTTCATCTGGAGGGCGGCGGGTGGCGGGGGCCCGTTCGAGGCCGTCACAAGGGGCCTCTCCATCATTGGAGTGGTGGCCTCCTGGGAAGGGGCTTCGGCAGCTTCACCTGCCTGTAAGGGGGTGGGGTAGGTCAGATGGTCCCGACCTGGATGGGGAAGGGATGTGACACCATCCCATGCTGGTTCCTGGTCACCTTTCACCGCCGCAGGAGCACAGGTGATTGGAGGGCGCGTCTGCAATCCCATGAAAAATGTACACCCAGACCCAAGACCTGACCACTCTCGAAACATCAGGCATGTGCCACCCACCTCCTGCATGCCACAGAGGGTCAGGGCCCAGCCATTAAGGGCAATTTGACGGGTGGTGGAGTTTTCCAGGGGATCCTCCACCTGCAGGATCCAGGTGCCCTCGCTGCCGCCGTCGGAGGCATCCTTGCCGTCGCCATCCTCGAACATGAAACCCAGACGCTGGGTTGGGATGTAGGAGTCCGTGAAGGGGGCATCGCTCTGTTGCAAATAACAAAGGGGGATGGTTAGAGGAGCGTTAGTGCAGTTGAAGGCAGATCGTGCCCATTCAGTGTGCAGTAGCCCTCATGACAAGTACAAATCATGATGAGTCTGTGGCATTGGCCATTCTGGCCCACTGAACGTCCAAGACCCTCCACCCTCGAGATCGACGCTCTACAGCGCCGTCCCAACGCCAGCTCTTTCGCTTGATTTACGTCTTCCAATCTTCCCCTGGGTCTCTTCATTCCACAACCCGCCTCCGCCCACCTCGGCACTGGAGAGGCCGCTTGTGGCACTGTCGTTGAACGTGGTCTTCCTCAGGATGCTTCCGGCGCCGCCCACACCACCTTGTTTCAGGACAATGGTACGACTACTGGTGGGGAGGGACTCTGCGCTCACGATGGGAGGCTCCGCCGTGAGGGTGACCTGTGCGGAGGAAAGGGGGGTGCTTGCTTTCCACATGCCCATGGTGAGACTGCCCCTCCGTGCTCGGGGGGGGATTCCCATGGGCATTGCAGACAATCTCGTGGACTCTATGCTGAGGCAGACGACAGACTTGTAATCTCATCCAGCCATATGTTAAACAATCCGTCAAGCAACGCATTCCCACCTTCAATGAAGCCACATCCGGGTGGGCGATGGACAGAGTGACGGACAGGTCATCGACCGTGAATGCATCCTTGACCACGAGGTAGTCCCGTGCCACTCCGGTGACCGTGTCAATGCGCCCTGGCGACTTGTACGTGCGACAGTCCTGCAAAGAATGGGGATAAAGTTAGTTTAGCATCTCAAGCGCAGAGTATCATGTGCTCAACGAGATCCTACGGACGAGCCACCAATGTTCCGCTGAGCTCGTCAGCGGGGACAAGATTCCGCTCCCTCCACACGAAAAGATTGCACGGACCAGATCGAGGGCGATTCCAGAACTCAAAGTCAGGAGTACTACTCCTAATGTAAGGATAATACTCTGCCGCGACATACTGAAGCGACCAGTGCAATGTCGAGGTCGTCGTCAGTAGTGGGCAGTTAGTCGTGCCCAGTGGTCTTCTCCCTGGGTTGTGGGTGTGCAAGCCAGTCCGAACCAGGATCAGTGATATTCACAGGTGAATTGTGTACACTCTGAAGCCGTGCTGCTCAGTGTCGACTTTTGGGTGGGACCCAGCGACGCTCTCGAAAAACAGACTGCCTCGACGCTCACGACCACCTGGTGGTGACATTTCGGGGGGCACGGCGACTCCTTGTCACGCACAGCACGAGTGCCGAGCAGCGAATCCAGGAACGTGTGGAACCAGTTTACGACTCGACACGGCTAAAACATCCTGTTCTAGAGGATCTTATGGGTGTCACGTATGCCTGATCGCCCTCAGTGATCCCCCGCCCCCAGTCCAGCGCCTGACCAGGCTCGCCCCGGGATGGTGCTTGCGGAGCTGGGGCAGAGGGTAACGCAGGCCCTTGCCTCCCTTTCTGCCGCCCCCGTCATCGATGAGGCGGTATTGGACGCCTGCTTGAAAGAGATCGCGGCTGCCCTGCTGCAAGCGGATGTCAATGTCCGGCTGGTTGCCAGCCTGAGGAACAATGTCAAGAAGAGGGTGAACGTCTCAGAACTGGGGAGGGGCCTCAGCAAGCAGCGCATCATTGAAAAGGTGACTGGCAACATCCATGCTTGCCTCCAGTCGTGGCCCTCGTTGGACCCAGCGGGACTTAGGACAGGTGAACAGATGCGGAGCATAGATGATGCTGCCCTGCGACCTCACCCTCCCACGTCCAAAAGCCGCACCGTTTATCTCGCAGGCTGTGTTTGACGAGCTGTGCAGCATGATCGAGGGTGGCCAGGCTGCGCAGCAGGAGTTCAAGAAGGGGCGGACGAATATCGTTATGTTTGTCGGGCTGCAAGGTGAGGGGCAATGCATGCCATGGAGGTGGTGAGGAAGTAGGTCCAGCTTGCATCTCCACAAATGACCTCTACGGCCATATCATGTCACCTACCAGTGTTCTCATCCGAACCTCTCGCCTTGCCCCCAGGTGCTGGAAAGACGACCACGTGTACAAAGTATGCGCACTACTATAAACGCAAGGGCTTCAAACCAGCCATGGTCTGTGCGGACACTTTCCGAGCAGGAGCTTTCGATCAGCTGAAGCAGAATGCTACAAAAGCGCAGGTAGGTGCCGTCTTGAGGTGCAGCTATGATTCAGGGCAGTTTCCTGTGCCTGGACTCTTGTGTGGGAACCTTAAGGCCGCTGCTGGCTCGTATCTGCACTGTGGGTCCAGGTCGAGTTACAGTGCTGCAGAACAATGTCCGCTTGGAATGCATGCTGTTGCCCTCATGGTCCACAGCTGTCCACAGCAAGATGCACTCTTCAACACCCACCACTTCCCAGATTCCATTTTACGGGAGCTACACCGAGACAGATCCGGCGGTGATTGCTCAGCAAGGTGTCGAACGGTTCAAGCAGGAGAAGCGGTGAGATGAGCGGGGTAGAGCTTTGCAAAGGGGATCCACTCCAGCCTGCTCGAGCAATTTCCCTGCCTGGTCAGCTCCTTGGGGTCCCCTCCACCTGTTCCTCCTCTTATCCCTTCAGGGACCTGATCATTGTCGATACGTCAGGTCGCCACAAGCAGGAGGAGTCCCTTTTTGAGGAGATGCGGCAGGTGGCTGCCGGTGAGCAGATGGGCGATGGTTGAGGGTCATTTGTTCTGAGTCGTGGCAACGGTGGTGGGTTGCAATTTGGACCGAGTGGGGACTTTATGCCATCGGAGCCTTGCATGGACACTGGAAGGGCCTGCACCTTGACCTCCACCTGGAACTCACCATCCCCCGCTATACCCGTCAACTTGCAGCCGTACAGCCAGACCATGTCATCTTTGTCATGGATGGCTCTATTGGACAGGCGGCGTTTGATCAAGCCAAGGCGTTCCATGACTCTGTGGATGTGAGTCTGAGAATGTATTTGATCCTGTTCTTCTTGTGGAGGGAGGACACATTGTCAGGGATGTTGCTAAGGCTTGACTTAAGCCTGTGGAAATGTCCAGCACCATTTGCACAGCGTGCTGGTGTAGGCTTCAGGACGCACTCCATGTTGGCTGTGTCCTCTTCACTTTGCCGGCATCTCGATACCATTCTGAGCATCGATTGAACCCCTCACACCCGCCAGGTTGGGCAAGTGATCATCACGAAACTGGACGGGCATGCCAAGGGTGGCGGCGCTCTGTCGGCTGTCGCGGCCACCCAGTCACCCATCACCTTCATTGGGACAGGTGAGCGTCTTTGTGCAGGCAGCGTGCCCTGAGGGGTGGAGTTGGGCAACCCGGCTGCCCAGAACTAAAGGTTCCAAGGTTGCTGATGAGGTAGCCCATAATCATGCTTGAGCACTGCCTGCCTTAGAGTTTTCCGGGATTTACAGTTGATTCCCTTACTCCTACAGGTGAACACATGCACGAGTTTGAGCACTTCGAGGCCAAGAAGTTTGTCGGACGACTTCTTGGGAAGGGTGATTGGGGCGGCTTCATTGACAAGGTCAAGGATGCCATCCCCGAGGTGAGCTCTCAGTGGCCATGCCCGGGATGAGGTCATGAGGGATCCTGAGGGGCCGCAGAAACTTTCATGTGTCTGATGTGGCAGCCCATGACCTGTCTGATATGCCCTCCCGGAACAATCAAATTGAATCCTGTGTGGTTTTGAGTCGCCTCATCAGTGCATTGCAAGGCTTGCCATGTTGCCTCATTTCCTACACCATCACTTCTTGGCCCCGATGAGTAGGAGGACCAGCAGCAGGAGCTGATTGAGAAGATCTCCAAGGGCGAGTTCACCCTGCGCATCATGTACGAGCAGTTCCAGAACATCATGAAGATGGGACCCATGAGCCAGGTGATGGTTGAAGGCGGGATGGTAGCAGGGCTGTGCAGGCATGCGGGTGGGGCGACGTCGCTGTACGATGCTAGGGAGCTTGCTCAACCTCGAGAGTGGCCCCACACCCAGCCAATAGTCCCCTATGCCCTGCTTCCCTGTGCATGCAGCGCCCCTCCACCCCATCCCACACGCCTCCCTGCGTGACCTTTATGCACAGGTCATGAGCATGATTCCCGGCTTCAGCAACGCCATCATGCAACCGGGGTCCGAGAAGGAAAGCCAGGCCAAGCTGAAGCGATTCATGACCATCATGGACTCCATGACCGCCAAGGAGCTGGACTCCTCCTCCACCAAGATCTTCAGCGAGCCCTCCAGGTAAGGCATTGCTGGGCATGTAGAAGAGCGCGATGGGAGGCTGCCAAGGGGTAGAGGGTTGCAACGTCTCGGGTGCTGGGCTTTGTGTGCCACCCCTAGGAAGACTCGTTTGTCTTGAGATTATTTGCTCCCCTGCTGATGCCTGTGAATCCCCAGGATCCCCAAGCCCTCACACTGACAAATTCCATGCACACGACCTGCTGCCGCAGGATACTACGATGGGCTCGTGGCAGCGGAAGCTCTGTAATCGATGTACAACTCATGCTGGAGGAGTACAAGCGGCTGGCCAAGGTGTTCTCAAGTAAGTGCGCTTGGGGTTGTGGGGGAGGGAGAGACTGCGGAGTGTCATCAGAGGGGCCGGGTGGATCTCAGTTGTCCTGCAGGCTGGCCTCGTGCCCTGCAAATGGCATGAGATATATTGCAACGAGTGCGTGGGCACCACACCTCCGCCTGTCTGCATGGCCTCAAAGGTGCATGGACCCCCTATATAACTCCCGTTTCGACTTGCCTCCCCACTCATTCTGCTCCCTCCCCTCTCGGCAGCCGCCATGAAGGGCATGAAGATTCCCAAGAACCTCAAGGGCGACATGAACCCCAGGAACATGCAGGTCGGCCCCAATTGACTCTTGGTTGTTTGAGGAGGAGCATGTGCTTGAGCGACTGACTGACATGTGCTCTGCCGTGTGTGGTGAGGGAGGCCTGGTGCATGCCATCGACTTCTAATCCTGACTACCTTCACCCCCTCCCTCCCACGCAGGCCAACATCGCTCAGATGAGCAAGATGCTGCCGCCACACATGCTAAAGATGATGGGTGGCCCCGGCGCCATCCAGAACCTGATGAAGCAGATGGAGGGCAAATTCTGAGGGTGGAGCCTGGACGAAGCTGCAAGACACTGTTCACATCGCGCCCCTGCCTGCGTCGCTGCCAGCACGGCCGGCTGGGCTCCCTGGACCCCTTCCCCCGAAATGCCTGGCCCCTCCTCTGCTCCAGCCCCGCATGGGTGGTTGCCGCTGTACAGAGGGCAAGAGATTTTCAGTCCAGGGGGGTGCTGGGCTTGGCCATCAGTTCCATGCCAGTCACTGTGCACACATGTCACCGCCCGACTGTCAGCTAGGGCGTGACGACCCCTGGCGCGGCGGGGGCTGCAGCCACTTCATGATGGACTCGTACACCACAAAGGTGATGGCGGACTGGGGCATGACACGCAGTACATTGGGCGCCAGGCCGCGGTACAGTCCGGCCAGTCCCTCACGGCGCAGGGTCAGGCGCAGGGCATGCGCCACGCCCACGTAACGCACGCTGCGGCTGGGGTCCACGCGCTGCTGCAGCCGGGACCTGATGACCTGTGGGGACGAAGGGGGGGGTGGGAGGGGCGTTGGGGTTGCTTGGGGTGCGGAGGGCAGGCATGGTCCATCAGAGGTGGGATATTACGGGGGAAAGGCCCCCGAGCGTGGCGCTGCAGGCAGGCAAAGAACCAAAACCGCTCGACACAGAGGCCGTATACTGAGCCAGTAAGGTCCCGAGTCAGCAGGCCCACGCTCGTCCCCTCGGCATCCAGCTACTGAACCCTAGGCCGGTGGCCTTGCCTGAGAGGGGTAGGTTGCGACAGACGCCGAGAGCTTGGACAGGGCGCCACAGACCGTGATCTCCAAGGAGGACAAGGGGGCCCTGCCAGGCTCGCGCTGCGCACGCTGGGCCGGCGCCGTGCTGCGCCGGCGGCCGGCGGCGAGCGCCTTGAGCTCCTCGTACACCGCAAACTGGATGGCGCCATGGGAGACGAGGAAGAGGGATGGGACGAGGCCCTTGTACAGGCCCCGGATGCCCTCCTGCCTGCCGATCTTGACCAGGCAGTCCACCAGGCCCCTGTAGGGGGCTGCAGCGGCCTGCAATGTTTTCAAGGTGGGGACGGAGGTTATGGCGCTTAGCGGGTGAGTGCAATGCTGAGCATCAGATAGCAGGCGGCCTTTCGCCCGCAAGGGCGAGGGCCTTCAGCATCGCATTCTTAGAGGAATTCTCAGTCAATGCCCGACAAAAACACAGAACATTGCACACCGCTCCTTTGGACATGACACACTGGACCCGCTGCAGTCACACACACATATACAAACACACGCTTGGCCAGCTCCGCACCGCGGCTGTTGCAGCGCTGCTGGCCGCCAGGACCTGGCGCTGCTGCAGCTGCAATCGGGTCTTGGCGACCCACAGGGGGTTGGTGACAAAGCACACCTGAGGGGCCAATGGGAAGAGGTTGGACATGGGAATCCTGCATGAAACATACGCTCCCATTTGATCCTTCTCTTACCCATCCCACCCTCCATAACCTCCCATCAACGCACCAGGGTTCCTGCCTCGGCGGCGCTGGCGAGATGCAGATGGGCAGGGAGCTTGCCGCTGCTGCCCTGCCAGGCCCTGTATCGCTCCTTGGCGCGGTTGTAGGTGAAGAAGTATACCCCCCAGGCCACGCCCGCACCCAGGACTGCAGGCGCCAGGCCTGGAGACATTGAAAAGGAGGGAAATTCCCCGCATGGGGCCGAGGTTTGGCAGATGATTGCAGCGCAACTCCGTCAAGCAGAGCAGTGTGCAGATTCTTTTGGACCAGCAGGCACAGCATGCGCCTCACCTGCATACAGGGCCTGGTAGCCCTCCTGCCGGACGATGCTCCTTGCTGCATCGAGCGTGCCCCGGTACAACGGCAGGGTGCCCTTGATGCCATCCTGAACTGCATGCGGCAGGCACATGCAGGGTGGGTAGTTTGGAGTGTGATATCACCCACATGTCAGGCAGGGGAGAAGGTCACAATTTCCCCGTTCATGTTGCACGTAAAGGCGTGCCTTGGAGTCGGGTCTTTATGACGTCCAGCGGCTGCAGCAGGAGGACGGTGGCCACCCCTGCGCTACCCCCAGCCACCCCATGGTGCCTGCATGAATATAAAATTGGTCATATCATCTGTGCATGCAATGAATGAAAGCTTTACGAGTATCTGGCACGCCCAGCCTGGCCGCTCACCATTGTGGGCGTGCAGGTCCATCCGGCATTCGCGTCCGGCTCGCTGGTTCCTACACCACCTGCTGCCTACATGCCACGTACAAATAAAACTCGTCTAAATGCTCATGAACAATTTCCAGGGTACAGCATCTGCGCATGCTGCTGTCCTGCGTTTAGAGCTGTCGAGCACTCCCCCATCACGAGTCGGAGCGCGGAAGCTGGGAGAGCCACTTGAGGTGATTTCATTACTGAGCCAGTTACTGTCCGTCCAGCGTGCACTTTATGTTACAGGCGACTACGCATCGAGCATAGTATGCACGCCTTGATGCACCGTCATCCTCATTGCTCCTGCTTGCACAGCTTATCAATGTCCAGCTCTGCTTCCAGTACAGCCACATCAGCCTGCATGGCTGCTGTACTGTTCTCAACAGGCCCATGGTCTGATGGGGATCTTGCTGCATAGAGTACCCTGCATATGTTGCAGCAGGCAGACTGAGTGTGGGTCGTATACCAATGCATTCAGCTCCTGACACAGTTTGCTGTCCATGTAAGAGGGATGGGACATCCACAGCTTAGTTCCACCACAAACAAATGCCAATCACCACTATGATCCACCTGCCAATGATGCTTGAGAGGTCAAGGGGACCAAAGGTACGGCTGTCCAAGACTGCTGGAGGCTGCAATTCTTCATTGTCCGCCAGCACCCAGCATTGCCCCTGATCAGGAGAGAGCATTGGAGTGGAGCGCATTGTTGCCACAAGCCGATACCAATCATTCATACAGGCAAACAACATCATGAGTTGACATGGTGCCACAAATCACCCCTGAAGACCATCACACATCTGTGCTGCGCAAAGCAGGGCAAGCAACTCCGCCCCTCGTTCCCACCTGCTGCAAGACGACAGGTTCGTCCTCCGGGTCGTCGGTAACCAGCTCTTCGCCTGGCATGGCAGCGACACGCCTAACCATGTAATCGACATGCTCTGTGTTGGCGAGGCTGATGGGCTGCAGGGACGAGGGGGTCTTCAGAGCCACCACGTCGCCCACCCACACGTTGCTGGTGGAGGGTCGAGGTATCCGGCGAACAAGAAGCTGCTCCACTGCCCCGGGGTCCTTGGTCCCCAGAGGATTGAGAGTGGGCGCCATGGACACCCCGGCCAATGCGATCACTTGCGTGAGCCGGCGCTGATATGCCTCTACCGTGGTCTGCAGGACGTCCGCCACCGAGCCCTGGTGCGGGGATGCAACTGCTTCCGACACCGCATGCTTCAACTTCAGCAAAGAGTACCGCAGGTTCCAGGCTCGGGTGGCCATGGTCGAGCCCGGCGTGGCAATAAGTTCTCCAAGCTGTGACTCTTCGCCCCAAGATGTGTGCTATTTATCGACAGATAATAACTTGGAAGACTGACGTATAGTCACGGCCCCTTTCGCCTCGCATATCTGCTGGTGGTCTCCCTGTGGTGCTCATCCCAACCCCGGGCCCTGGCGCGCGCGCTTCACCGACAAATGGGGAGGTATCTCAAACCCCTCAACTCAGAGCTTCAAAGATCAATGCGGTGTCAGCTTATATTCTACATGGTGCACAGAAAGCTCATGAAAGCCCAACAGGCATGTCTGGCTTGCCACTCTCATTGACTGGACAGGGGCCCGGAATTCTTGGACCCTTCCTGCTCCTTCAGAATGGACTGGATCTCCGCCTCAGGAAGCTCCTCAAATCGCTTCTGCATCACCGCAGCCTCATAGTCCGAAAGCTGCTTGGCATACGTCATGTTCTGAGATGTGTAAATGAGGTGGAGTGGAGTGATATGTATACTGGATGGGCTTGCTAGCCAAACTGCCGGTTATCACAGGAGGATTCTACTACATGCAGTGCAAACCCCTGACTGCTAGCCCACCTTGGTGCCAACGCGCCAGATGTATGACCCAATCCAGAACACGCAAATGCCCAGGAAGACAGAGAGCTGCACCCAATTCCCTGCTGAGCCGGCGTCCAGACCCAGAGCCTGTATAGTCAAGATGGTGTCCAGGCATGAGCGCAGGGACGCAGGGGGACGGAGTGCAGGACGGAACATGGGTGCCAGTCGGCTCCCAACCCCTGGCTGTGCACGCAGGCACACTGACCTGCAGACCATAGTACATGGCATAGCCTACTCCGATCAGGCCAACCCCGATGAGGACAACGTCCTTGCGTGTGTGCCCAAACTCAATCGGCTCCTTGGATGACTGCAGAGTTTGTGTGAGGCTCCAGGTGGCGAGGACACGGAGCAGAACCATGCCGTTTGATATGCAAATAAATGCTGCTGTCTGGCAGCTTGCGTGGCGTGACGCAGGCACCGACAACCATCCCCATACCGGATCATTGGAATCTCGGGAGGTATTACGGTCTTCATTTCCTCCGGACGCCCGGGCGGCTACGCTGCTGATGGTGAGGGGGTGACGGCATCCGATACCTGTGTGGTTGCGAGCGAGGAGTGGCAGGGCTGCTCCTCCCACAGTCAAGCACGCAGAGCAGCCCACTGGCTGGTCAGGGAATAATAAAGGATTCCATGCGATGAGTTCAAAGCGCTCGTACCAAGGAGTGCGCCCCCATGCGCCATGAGGCGCCTTTGGAAAAATCCATGTGGGGACTGTGAGGATGCACACAAGCGCCGGCCATGGAGTCCCGCGGCATGACAACTCGGGGCGAGGGTGAGCGCCATGATCTGCACTGGATCCTAGCTGAAGTTTGTATTGTTTTGAAACAAAGGATGCGCGCTGCAGTCTTATTCCAAAATTACATGCACACGCGCGCGTGCATGGGTGTTCGTCCATTCCAGACACACGATGCGATCCAAAATCTTTGCTCGAGTCCCGAAACAACCAGATGCAGCGGGGCCAGAGTACACATTGTCCCACTTTGACGCGTGAAGCATGGCGCAAGCTCTCACATCTCCACGCATACAACGCACGTCACCCGGCTATGGAGTCTTCAAAGGCTGCTGGCGAGCTCCTCCTCAGCCGGCCTTCAGACACGCGAGGAACCCGAGGGGGGTGGTCAGGAGCCGAGCGCAGCCTACAAAAGCTGTAATCGACGTCAGTGAATCAACCTTTGAGGCCGAGGTGCTGAAGGTAAGCTGCTCATTGCCTCTCGAGCTGTGGGAAACGCCATGTGGGAAGCCTCTGGTACGGCATGACAACTCGGTGCGAGGGTGAGCGCCATGATCTGCACTGGATCCTAGCTGAAGTTTGTACTGTTTTCAAACAAAGGATGCGCGCTGCAGTCTTATTCCAAAATTACATGCACACGCGCGCGTGCATGGGGTGTTCGTCCATTCCAGACACACGATGCGATCCAAAATCTTTGCTCGAGTCCCGAAACAACCAGATGCAGCGGGGCCAGAGTACATATTGTCCCACTTTGACGCGTGAAGCATGGCGCAAGCTCTCACATCTCCACGCATACAACGCACGTCACCCGGCTATGGAGTCTTCAAAGGCTGCTGGCGAGCTCCTCCTCAGCCGGCCTTCAGACACGCGAGGAACCCGAGGGGGGTGGTCAGGAGCCGAGCGCAACCTACAAAAGCTGTAATCGACGTCAGTGAATCAACCTTTGAGGCCGAGGTGCTGAAGGTAAGCTGCTCATTGCCTCTCGAGCTGTGGGAAACGCCATGTGGGAAGCCTCTGATTAAACAGTGATCGGGATCAGCGACTCGCAATCAGTCCCCCACTCCCTCCTTACTTTGTCCCCACAGTCAGAAATCCCTGTCCTCATTGACTTCTGGGCCACATGGTGTGGTCCTTGCAAGCTCGTGGCTCCCTTTGTTGACTGGGTGGCAGAGGTAGGACAGCCCCTCAATCGGCTCCTTGGATGACTGCAGAGTTTGTGTGAGGCTCCAGGTGGCGAGGACACGGAGCAGAACCATGCCGTTTGATATGCAAATAAATGCTGCTGTCTGGCAGCTTGCGTGGCGTGACGCAGGCACCGACAACCATCGCCATACCGGATCATTGGAATCTCGGGAGGTATTACGGTCTTCATTTCCTCCGGACGCCCGGGCGGCTACGCTGCTGATGGTGAGGGGGTGACGGCATCCGAGACCTGTGTGGTTGCGAGCGAGGAGTGGCAGGGCTGCTCCTCCCACAGTCAAGCACGCAGAGCAGCCCACTGGCTGGTCAGGGAATAATAAAGGATTCCATGCGATGAGTTCAAAGCGCTCGTACCAAGGAGTGCGCCCCCATGCGCCATGAGGCGCCTTTGGAAAAATCCATGTGGGGACTGTGAGGATGCACACAAGCGCCGGCCATGGAGTCCCACGGCATGACAACTCGGTGCGAGGGTGAGCGCCATGATCTGCACTGGATCCTAGCTGAAGTTTGTACTGTTTTCAAACAAAGGATGCGCGCTGCAGTCTTATTCCAAAATTACATGCACACGCGCGCGTGCATGGGGTGTTCGTCCATTCCAGACACACGATGCGATCCAAAATCTTTGCTCGAGTCCCGAAACAACCAGATGCAGCGGGGCCAGAGTACATATTGTCCCACTTTGACGCGTGAAGCATGGCGCAAGCTCTCACATCTCCACGCATACAACGCACGTCACCCGGCTATGGAGTCTTCAAAGGCTGCTGGCGAGCTCCTCCTCAGCCGGCCTTCAGACACGCGAGGAACCCGAGGGGGGTGGTCAGGAGCCGAGCGCAACCTACAAAAGCTGTAATCGACGTCAGTGAATCAACCTTTGAGGCCGAGGTGCTGAAGGTAAGCTGCTCATTGCCTCTCGAGCTGTGGGAAACGCCATGTGGGAAGCCTCTGATTAAACAGTGATCGGGATCAGCGACTCGCAATCAGTCCCCCACTCCCTCCTTACTTTGTCCCCACAGTCAGAAATCCCTGTCCTCATTGACTTCTGGGCCACATGGTGTGGTCCTTGCAAGCTCGTGGCTCCCTTTGTTGACTGGGTGGCAGAGGTAGGACAGCCCTGCTGCAGTGGTACATCCTGGAGAATTGGCAGTCTATGCATGTGCCAAATATGTGCAAGCTTTAATTCACACCGCCTGCCACTCACACTCTGACATGCAATTCCCAACAGGAATACAAGGGCACCCTGAAGGTTGTGAAGATCGAGACCGACCCCAACCCTGGAATCGTGGAGAAGTACAAGGTGTGTATTCTGGAGGATCGCAGCTTTCTATGGTTGAAGCACCACCATGAAATGTCAGTCACCTCAACGAACGCTCAATGACAGAGCTCGCTCATCCCTCCCTGCAGGTTTATGGTCTGCCCTGCCTGTTGCTCTTTGCTGACGGCAAGGAGGTCCCTGGCAGCAGGCATGAAGGGGGCATCACAAAGCAAGGCCTGGTTAAATATCTAGATAAAAATAATGTGGCTGCAAAGCCTGCTTGACGCAGCTCCCTCGACATACGTTGATAGTGATCAATGTTCTTGTTCTGTAAATGAGATTCTTGGAAACCAAAGGCGCGAGAAAATAAAGGAACAACGAGGCAGGCTAATCGATCACAGCCGTTCCAACCACCTTGGTCGACATAATCGCGTCTTTACATCTTTACACATCGATAGGAGCGAGCCTATCGCCTCAAGGTCGTCTTCGTCCTTCCAGGCCATGGATCGCTTCCAACGAATGTTGGGGCAGGGGGGCCTGGGCGGGGCCGGTGCCGTGGCAGGAGACGCTCCCCAGCAGGACACGAGCGAACAGATATACATATCCTCGCTCGCCCTGCTGAAGATGCTCAAGCATGGCCGGGCGGGGGTCCCCCTGGAGGTCATGGGCTTGATGCTGGGCGAGTTCGTGGACGAATACACTGTCAAGGTGGTCGATGTCTTCGCGATGCCACAATCAGGGACAGGCGTGAGCGTCGAGGCGGTGGACCCCGTGTTCCAGACCAGGATGCTGGACATGCTGAAGCAAGTGGGCAGGTGAGATCACTGCACTCTACTTGGAATGACTGTGGCCGTCCGCCTCTTGGCACTGCCGTCATTCAGTGGCACGAGCTCGTGTATCTCTACCAACACATGCAGACCGGAGATGGTCGTCGGCTGGTACCATTCCCACCCGGGTTTCGGATGCTGGCTGTCTGGGGTGGACGTCAACACCCAGCAGTCCTTCGAGGCCCTGAACCAGAGGGCCGTGGCAGTGGTCATTGACCCAATCCAGTCTGTGAAGGGCAAGGTGGTCATCGATGCCTTCCGCTGCATCAGCCCGCAGACGATGATGCTGGGCCAGGAGCCGAGGCAGACCACGAGCAACGTGGGTCACCTAAACAAGCCCTCCATCCAGGTGCAGCACGGCGGAAGGGTGGTTTGAAGATGTGCATTGGCATGGGAACTCTTTTCTCCTCCTTTGAGTGCCCGAGCCTGACCCCTTGACCGTGCGCCATGGTTGCAGGCGCTCATTCATGGACTGAACCGGCACTATTACAGCATTGCCATCAATTATAGGAAGACGTCCCTGGAGGAGAACATGCTCCTGAACCTGCAGGCAAGTACACTTGCGCTAGTTTATGTGGGAACGCTCGTGTCGAAGGATGTTGTGTAATTAAAAGGATGGCAGTGTGCTCTTGCAAGCGAGAAGCGCCTTATGTATCGCTCCCCTGTCCTGCAGAAGCACACATGGACCAAGGGGTTGAAGCTGACGGACTTTGACGAGCACGCACTGAAGAATGGCAAGCTCTTGACCGAGGCTCAGGACTTGACAGGTGCGGCTGGTGTGGGAGAGTTGTCTGACATTGACTCAGTTACGGTGCTGGGGCTTAGGTTTCTGATGAAATCGCGTCAACATTTTATTCTCCATCCCTTCCTGACCTGTTTTTATGCACCATTCATGCTTGACAGAGAAGTACGAGAAGCTCATCGTCGAGGAGGAGGACATTTCTCTGGAGAAGCGGGTGGTCGCCAAGGCTGGTGCGTGGGAGATTTTAAGTGGGTGCCAAAGCTCAGCGACCATCTTTGTCGTTTCATGCTTTGGAGGGTTTGGGATGGGGGTCCATGCCATGACTGCGGTTGGGTATGAATGAATAGCATGATCTCAGAGTATCGCACCCACTGTGTTGAATAACAAAGTGACAATGCTTGCCCATGGACAGCGTGCGGAGGGGTGTCCAGTGCCGCAGAGTCACACACTGTTTCATCAGCACTCTCAGCGTGTCTGCACCCCGCTGAACCTGTGCAGGCAAGATGGATGCCAAGAAGCGATTGGAGGAGAATGTGCAGACGCTGCTGTCTGACAACATAGTGCAGTGCATGGGTGCCATGGTGGACACCGTAGTCTTCTGATGGCTTTGCATGCACGATTGTTGTGAGCCACATGGATAACACATGTCACTGTAGTCCACCTTGTCAGCTTGGCAGATTGGGTGTCAAGGTGTTGCACTTGCGGATGTTCGCGAGAGAGGTGTAGCAGTAGTGCACAGATCACACATTGAAGAAGTCGTTGCACGTCGAGCAAGGCGGTTCGCAGGGTGGGAGCACGGGAGCCACCGCAAGGAGGAACGCGGCTCAATTCTCTCAACTCCTGGATGCCTCATATCTATATGAACATGGTGAAACCAAAAATGAAATTCCTTGCGAAGCGAACACGCTACCACTGCGTCACAACCCCTGTCAATTTTCTTGGAGCTGCGAGGATTTGAACCCCGGACTTTTCGCACGTTCAAGCAATTTGGTTGCGTCAGCTCGCAATAATTTCAGCACTTCCACATGAGCTTCCTTGCATGTCTTCAGGTTTCATTTCGTACACTCTTCGCCGCCAATATAATGCTCGCATGCCAGGGGAGGCGCCCTATCCTTGCCCAGATAAGAGCTCCGACATCCATTCGAGCAATGACGGGAGGTAGCCAGGGCGGGGACGGCTGGCGAATAGCGGAGCAGCACACGGCCTCCAGCGCCCACAGCAGCTTGATCGCGGCCCTGATGACAGTGTGGCCGTCACAGTTCCCCAGTTCGACGAGCGCCAAGAACTCCGTGCGAAAACGACTGGTCTTCCTTAATGGGGCCCCGGCTCCGGCTCAAGCGTGAGGGGAGGGGAGGGCTGGTTTGGAATGACCACTGCTGGTAGGCACCATTGCCTGTGCACAGGACCTACAGCACCCTCTCTCCACACACACACACACCCCTTTGGGTTCCGCACGATGCAGCACCGTGGTGCCAGGCGACACGCTGTGCATCCGGCAGCGCACCCGCACGGTGCAGAGGAACCCGCTCCCCGCCGCCACTCAGGAGGCGGCGGCCGCAGTCCGGGTGGTCTGGCAGGACGGCTGCCTGGCCTTCGTGGAGAAGCCACGCGGCCTGGCCACGCGCGCCGGGTCCGGCCCGGGGCCCACGCTGGCCGCCTGCCTGCCGGCGGTGCTGGCGCCCGGCCCCGGCGCCGATGCGCTGCCGGACCCAGCCCCCGTACACCGCCTGGACGGCCCCACGGGGGGCCTGGTGCTGGTGGCTAAGACACGGGCCGCGCTGCGCCTGGCCAGCGCCGCCTTTGCGGCGCGGGAGGTGCGCAAGCGCTACCGCGCCGTGGTCTGGGGCCGGCTGGCAGCAGGCGGCGTCGTGGACATCCCGCTGGACGGCAAGCCCGCCAGCACGGGCTACTCGCCGCTGCGCTGGCATCCCATGGAGCCGAGCGGGGGGCGTGATGCGGGGGTCGGGACAGGGGAGCGCGGTGCCGGGTCCTTGGAAGGGAACCGCTGGACAGGCACCCGTGGCGCAGCCCCTGGATCAGCACTGGCGGTGACCGTGCTGGATCTGGCGCCCGTCACGGGGCGCACGCACCAGCTGCGGCGCCACCTGGCGCTGATGGGGCACCCCATCGTGGGGGACCCAAAGTACACCAGCGGGTACGCCGCGCAGCGGGCGCTGGCGCTGGGGGACCCCGCCGCGGAGGAGGGCTGGCGGGCGGGCGGCGGCCAGACGGTGGCTCCGGGGGCCATCGCGGGGGCGACGCCCCACCTGCCAACAGGCCTGCACCTCTGGTCGGTGGGGCTGGGCCTGCGGCACCCCATCACGAGCGAGCCGCTGACCCTGCAGCTGGACGAGCCGCCGGAGGTAGCGGCGCTGCTGGAGGCCCTGCAGCGCATGCACGAACGATGGCGACTGCTGCATGGAATTTGAGTGACTGCTTGCATCTGCAGCTGCATGACACAGCCCACAGAGTCAAGCCTGGGGGAGTGCAGGGCTCCTCGTGTGTACCCATGCTTTTCCTCAGCGTCCAACGTGGCGCGCAAGACCACACGGCTCGCGCGGCCACCGGCATGGAACTTGAAAAGGCATCCAAGGATCGACACGGGCATACACTGTCATCCTTGCCTGTATCTGCTGCGCCTAGGCACATCCAGTGGGAGATTGTGCCGGGGCAGCTCCTGCTCAGACGACGGCGCAGGGGACAGGGCACGGCAGCGACACCCGAGTCCCGTAACATCCCGCGACATGCCAGGTGCGACGCTGGCTCAATCGTGGTTCTGTAGTACAGTGTCCAAACACATGTCTGAGTCTTGTGATGCGATGCCCCTGCATGCAGGCGAGCCCACACCCCAGGCCGATGCCGCTCCCGCGCCTAAGGGCAAGGCCAAGCCCGCCGGCAAGAAGCAGAAGGAGACCAAGCTGGGCATGCGGGCTACCAAGGATGGCGACTTCAGCGAGTGGTACTCCCAGGTGGTCATCGAGAGCGAGATGATCTCCCACTATGACGTCTCAGGTATGCACCTGCCTGCAGTGGAGGAACGGCGCGTGTATGGCCTGGACTGTGGAAGAATGTTTCTGCACCTCGCCCTGCCTTTCCCTTGCCTCCATAGGATGCTACATTCTGCGACCCTGGGCCTATGCCATCTGGGACGAGATCAAGAACTGGTTTGATGCCGAGATCAAGAAGCTGGGCGTGCAGGTGATCACTGAAGGGGTGGGAGGAGGGGAGGCATGGGAATGGCTGACTGTGCTCCAGGTGGTGCACCAGAACCCTGAGTGGTCACAGGGATTGGTCTGTGAATGGAAACACCTTCTCTGGGCACGTCGAGAGCTCCCCCTTGATGCACGGGCGGTGTCGCAAACAATGTCCCCATCCTCACCTCCCCCTCCCTCTTCCCCTCGATGCTCAGAACGCCTACTTCCCCCTCTTCATCACGGAGGAGGCCCTGACCACGGAGAAGGACCACGTGGAGGGCTTTGCAGCAGAGGTGTGGGGTGGGGTTGATGCTGACAGTCTGGAGTGACCCTCCCTCGCCGCGCTCTGGGGATGTGCATGTTGGTGCAGACCTCCTGCCCCCCGGCCCTACCTGGGCAAAGGTCTACAGGAAGTTCGCTCCTGGTCGGTGTCCTCATCCCCCCTTGCATGTGACCTTCACGGACCCACTTCCCGATCCACAGCCCCTCAACCCCCCACACCAAACTCCTCCTCTCCCCAGGTGGCCTGGGTCACCAAGTCTGGCAGCTCCGACCTGGACCGCCCGCTGGCCATCCGCCCCACCTCCGAGACGGTGATGTACCCCTTCTACCGCGACTGGATCCGCAGCCACCGTGACCTGCCCCTGCGCCTGAACCAGTGGACCAACGTGGTGCGCTGGGAGTTCAAGCACCCCACGCCCTTCATCCGCTCGCGCGAGTTCCTGTGGCAGGAGGGGCACACCGCCTTTGCCACGCGGGGCGAGGCCGACGCGGAGGTGCACACCATCCTCGACCTGTACGCGGCCATCTACCAGGACCTGCTGGCGGTGCCCGTCGTGCGCGGCGTCAAGTCCTCCAAGGAGAAGTTTGCGGGGGCACTGTACACCACCACCGTGGAGGCCTTCATCCCGCACACGGGGCGCGGCATCCAGGGCGGCACCTCCCACTGCCTGGGCCAGAACTTCTCCAAGATGTTCAACATTGAGTTCGAGACGGAGGACGGCACGCGCGCGCATGCCTGGCAAAACTCCTGGGGCTTCACCACGCGCTCCATCGGCGTCATGATCATGACCCATGGCGACGACCGCGGCGTGGTCATCCCGCCCCGCGTCTGCGCGGTGCAGGTGGTGCTCATCCCCATCCCCAGCACCAAGCTGGGGGAGGAGGCGCGCGCCGCCATGGCGGCGCGCGCCGCCGAGATCGAGGCCGCGCTCAAGACCGCGGGCCTGCGCGTTCGCGTGGACGACCGCGACAACTACACCCCCGGCTGGAAGTACAACTACTGGGAGCTGCGCGGCGTGCCCCTGCGCCTGGAGCTGGGGCCCAAGGACATGGAGGCGGGGGTGGCCATGCTGGCACGCCGCGACACCGGGGCCAAGGAAAGTGTGGCGTGGGCCGACGTGGCCGCCCGCGTGCCCCAGCTCCTGGACACCATCCAGGTTGGGGGATGTGTGTGTGT